GCCCAACAAAGGATTTGTGAGATTTTTTTAAGAAAAAATTGAATCGGCCATATTTTGAAAACCATAAGACTTGGTACTAAGGTAAGTTTGACTAAATAGGTTCTAAATGACTTACTCTATCACGTCCCAAAATACCCAAGTAACAACAGCACGTGAAAATGACGTTAAATACTGGTCATCAAGTGACGAGAAATGACGAGCTAAATGACTTAATTATGACGTGAAAATGACTTCCTAATGTCTGGGACGAATGACGTCATAGTTGGTACGTCATTTTTACGTGTTATTTGACGTCAAGTTTATGAGTTATTTAACGTGATATTGGCGTATTAATAACGTTCCATTCGCGTGATATCTATTTTATAAATGACGTCATATTTACCTGATATATTTTCTATAAATCCTTGTTTTTTTCAAATTTATATGACCTGTAACGAAAATGAACCAACACTATATCACTTTTGAGAAAAATATATTTAAAAAAAGACAATATAAATATTCTGTAGGCGTATTAAACATATTACTTGTAGTACTTGCTAGGTGAGGTAACAACCAGACACTTACCTGTTGGTCCATAAGTTGGCCCTTAGGTGAACAAGCAATAATAATAATGTATATTATAATATAAAATAAGGTATATTAAAACAAAAGACATATACTTACGGTTGGTGATTGTTATTAGTCTCAACACAAACACGTGAATAAAACTCACATTCATATAGAGGCGTTTCACTTGGATGCAGCAGGATGATTCTGAAGAGAAATTAAAACCGAAAAATATATCAAGAATTAATAATTCCACGCGATACTTGCGTAAAAAAGAAATGAGGGAAACTTGGAGGGAAATGAGAAAGCAAAAAGCGAGGGAAAACCAAATGAAACACGACCACGCCATGCTACAACCACAACATAACCTCAACAAACTCCCTCACAACAATCAACGTCAACAGTCACACACACAGTAGCGAATTGGAAGGGTTAGTGCGCACTGAGTGTGTTCGTGTCTTTTCTACCGACTTCTATAAGAAAGAGATAAAAAAACATTTTTCTGCACTGGTTCTACCAATAGAATTCGCTGAATAGCATATTCGTTTCCCCACGCGGCGATGCAATATTTATTGTTGTCCCTTACTAATACTAAACTAATGCTAGAATTTCGAAACAAAAAAAATACAGGAGTGAGTGTATTTGTATTTACTCTTTTCCTTTTTCCCGTTGAGTTACTCGGAGCTGCTCAAAGTCAGAAGCTTGAACGTTTTTCGTTCGGTGTTTGTTCGGTGTCACTCGATGTATAAAAGGAATACAGTAATTTCCGCATTCACCAAACCGTTGACCAAACACAAAAACAAACCAAATACGTCCCCTTTCTGGCCTTTCCACAGTTTCTACCGTTTATTTCTATACTATTTGAAAGTCAGAGATGGAACTATGAGTATGAACTATGGGAGTTTTCCATTTAATTTTTATTCAAAGATGTGTTTTCAAACGCATCAAAGTTTTGCTGTAGTAAAAATTAAAAAACAGGATGTCGAAAAAATGCGAGGGTAGGGGTATTATTCGCATTCGATTCGATCAAAATTTTCGTGAGTAGTTACAAATGCGAAAAAAAATAATGATTTGTATCATCACTTTGTCTCCTATTCACTATAGAATACAGTATACACGGCACAACCCTAGGAATTCTAGGAATACATTCAAAACACATTGAAAAAAAAAAACTAATTCAAAAAACCAGGTTTACTGAACCCCAAGCAAAATACGTGAATATTACATGATATATATTGACGTCAATGTGTATTACATTTATCACCAGAAAAACGCGTCAATATTACGTGATAAAAAGCACGTCATTTGAACGGCATTTATCACACGTCAATATGTCGTCAGTTTTTGGTCAGGTGACGAGTATTGACGAATTATCACCATATAAGGACGTCAATATGACGTACCCTTGCTGGCTGGGTATATGCATCGACCTACCAAACACCCTGTATATCCGTGCTTGCAATCATCTTTGAGGCCTGTACCAGTAAGTAGGTATGTCCCTATTTTAGCATGTTCATAGGTAGGGTGCGAAAAATGCTTTTCAACACTGGAAGACATAAAAATTCTATTAGGAAATCGCCTTCCAATGGAAAATTTGGATGCGTTGATGATAATGAACCTTAATAAAGACATCCTAAGATTGTTGAACATTCTCTTGGAAATGTTTCACCTAAGCTCCCCACCCCCACTAAGAAAATATTATTATTGTGATTGTTTGAAATAAATAAACCAAAAATATAATCAGTATGAAAGTTATTTTTTGATTTATTCTGCGTTTTCATTCAGCATTTATTGTTTCATCACTGTTGGTAATTTAATATTGGATCACATCTAAGTGTGGTGATGTGCCCCATAAATCCATCAATGTATGGGCCGCTAGACTGAAATTACCCGGCCCACTTCCAAAAGTTCGTCCAACCCTCAATTTATTCATATTTAGGGTTAGCAAGAGTAAGGTGGCGTTTTCAATATGAATATATAGGATTTTAATGAACCAATGAAAAATAGCACGGCAGTTGTCGCCACTTTGGTTTAATAGAATCACTGTGAATTAGCGCTGACTCTTTGTCGGCTTCCTAAACAAAACTATGGTTCGCACGTTGATGCGTTAGGCGTCGTTATGGGGAACACCGAAGGCAGCTTCACCAGGTAGGTACAGCTAAGAATAAGAAGAACAGAAAGCTATCCGAAGTTTACATGAATTTGAAACCAATATCCGCCGTCTGCCTTATTTGGCCCTAAAATTTGGTCCATACAAAATTTCACCCCGCCAGCTTGAAATTTGAAAATCCAAAAACTTTGAACACGTCATTATTCATTTATACTCTGTAGATGTAATTCAAATTCTTATGCTTTTAACTCTAACTTCAAAAAACAAAGACTTTATATAAAGTTCCCTAAGATCCCTGCAAGTTAAATTTTCCAAAAATAAACCATTCCAAATTTCAGCTTTCTAGACTAGTAGTTTTGGATGTTCCTTGATAGATCTGTCAGTCAGTCAGGACAAACGACTTTATAAATATATGTAAATGTAAGACCCAATGAAGGAACTCCTGAAAGAAATACGAAAGGTTGTTTTCAATATCAATCATACGGAAACTTGGAAAGGGGCACTGAATGTTTCCGCTCCGGAAGAAAATGATATTTTAACGGAGACTGTAGACTGCGGCTGAGATCTCGTTCTCATTCTGTCTTCGATAGAGAAGTTACACTACAGTACGATTTTCAAACCAAACATCATTATGGTAAACTGCATAACAACGCAAATATATTATGATCCATTAGACCATGCCCAGTTCAAGGCATGCGAAAAATCCGGCGAGCGCAAAATGAAAAAAAAAAAATGAAGAGCAGAGTGGTGGAATTCGACTGCTAATCCAGATCGTCAATATTATCCTTCAGAAAGACGTTTTACAGATTCTCAAGATAAGAAATACTATGAGTGAGTGATACGACAGTCCGCATGAACATCGGAAGAAAAAACACACGCAGCTAAGGGTAGACCTGGATGGCTAAGAAGGGATAGGGGATTCATTTGACAGGCATAGAGATATAAGCATGTAGATAGATGGAGTGATGAAGCTGATTACGAGTATGACGAAGAACGTAGGGGATATTTTTTGTTCCTGAGGTCCCTGAAAGCAATAGTGTATTTGCTGGCGGTTCGGGGATGGGGGATTAAATAGATGCAATCGCCAATCATCATGGGATTTGAGTGGTAATATAGACGTAGAAGAAAAGGTGCATCTTGATGGTGGCGGCTTATCACGCCGAGAGTAATCATTGGTGAGATCGGGATGATCTGATGGAGACACTTTACGGAATTAGATTGGTGCTGACGCTGCTGTCTACGCGATTATTCAATAATTCCATTGTAATATGGTTTGAATTAACAAGCATTTATGATACGATACACAATTCTATCTAGAGATTTCTTGACATAATGTTATGTGACGCGCGTAGTTTGTAGCCAAACAGTCAGCTTAAATAATTGTATAAACTTAAGTGAAAGCGATAAAAGTGAATTGTGTAAAGTTAATGACTTCAACAAAAGTTGTTGCTGTTAGTTAAAACGAGTTTTAGTACACTCGAAATCCGTGACAATTTAATGATATCGTTGTGAGCACGCGCGGTATTGAAATACTAGACCCTGAGATAGGAAGTGTTTAGTGGAGTAATTTTTTTTTGTCTGGCATTTTCATTTTGAGAGCTGAATGTCACTAGGTAACTGATGAGAATATAAGTGGTTTTAATGCCTGCTCCCCGTTCGAAATGTCCACAGATTGTTTTGCGGATTTGCTCGATTTCGAGCTATGATTACGGTCTGGCGATTTTTCAGCGTTATTTTCACAACAAAACCTTTCATTATCTCGATTGCCAGACAGAAAGTAAATGCGGGAAGTTCTATACTTTTCTCTTGCAAGTCGACACTATCCTTACTTTTTCAGTCATTAAAAATCATCTGGCATTTTTTATGGGTGAATTATTTATCAAATGTCAATCTTTTATTCAAAAGCCTGAAAATTTAAGATCATTAAAAACAAATGGTTCATGTGAATGAATTTTTTTTTCTCAAAATTTTCAAACGGGTGGCAGGCATTAAAATCACCTGTATTCTCATCAGCTAACTAGTCACATTCAGCACTTAAAATGCCCGACAAAACAAAAATTACTCCACTAAACAGTCCCCTATCTCGGTCTATAACAGTTTTTAGGCCATAGCCGAAAATCGAAAAAAATTGCTATTGAAATCAATAGCAAATAAAATTACCTAAATAGGTAATTTTAGAGGGACAAATAGGTTTAAAAAAATATACACAGCCTAGCCTGTGTCCTATAAAACAAAATGGGACCCCCAGGCGCACGCCTCTGGGCGAAAAAATATCTAATAAATAGGAGTTCTAATTTAATTCATTGCCATTACTAACAGCTAACCTAACCTCAGTCCTCGGTGCGGTTTGGTTCTGGCAGTTAGCAATAAAGCATTCAGTGGGAGTGGAATCGGAGCCTCGTGTTTTCTGTTTCTGTCCGATGCCGGCAATTTTCATTGCTGTTAGCTCTTTTTAAACATTTGAAGTCATGTGCCATACGGGTATGACTAAGTTAATTGAATAAAATTTTAAATTTATTCGCGCTTTAGTTTGATTTTAATATCAGATGCAAAAAATTGTTTGACATTTTCGGTGTACTCTTTAAATTTAGTAAATCATCGGTACTTACTGGTACCATCTACCTACCTAAATATCCATCCCTTTAAAATTTTACCTGAAGTATCCATCCTCTGTTTATAAATTATTGCCAGGTGAGTGATAACTTTTGATTATAGTAGAAAATATTTTGTATTTTTAAAAATGGGCTGCAAAATTTTTCAACTTTGATTTATTCCATCAAGTTATGACTCAACTTTTGATTAATATCAGTAAATGATCAGATTATTTTGGGAACGCACATGGTGAAGATCCTTAATAATGACCAAGTTATTTCCATTTTATAAATTATTTTATTATGTAGGTAGGTATGTATTATTTATTGCGCAAAAAAAATATTCTCTAAAATTATTATAAAATAAATAGAAAATAGGTACCTAATACAAAGGAAACGAATTTTAAATTTTAATAGCTTAATTATTACATATTATAATACCTAATGCGATTTTTGAAAAAGAAACTGCATACCATAGCTAAAACCTATTTATAATTTGTTTTGTTTCCTGCCTACATCAAAATCAAGAATCAAATTAAATCAAGAATTGCTTGAACTAAATCAGAAGAGAACTATTTCTACTTCTACTTTTACTATATACTACTACTACTGAAACAAAGATTATACTCTTGAAACTGTGTCCAAAATTACTAAAAACTTAAAAAAGAAACTTAAAAAAAAAGCAAATTAACATTATGCTCGAGTTCATGGACTGCAATTTCCGTCTTCTCTATGCTCATTTAGTTGCTTGGCATCAGAAAATTGCTTCTGGCATAGCCAACACTTCAGTAGCTGTGCAGCCTGCGCCTCCGACATCAACGGTAGAGCTTCAACAGCAGGAACTCGTTGCAAAAGGTACGGAGCATATTTCACAATTGGCTTGCAAATCAAATTGTGCTGATTCAAAAAGTGTGATTTCATACTAGTCATCTCCTTAACTGCACATGTGAAAGGACACAATTAGCAACAAATCTTGTTAGGTCTAGCGCAAGTCTCTAGAAGTTCATCCAGCTTGGCTTTTGAATTGAAACAGTTCGAGCAAAAAGAACAACTCAGCAGTCCCTGTTTTAATCGAGCCTCCACTGTGTCCTGAAACTGTTTTTCGCAGAACATGTTATGGTCTCTCAAACTGTTAGCGAATGAAAATCCTTGATTCAACATCTCAATGTCCTTTTTTTTTCAGGAACAAATGATGGGTTTGTCAAGTTGTAATCAATTGAGTTCCTTGCACTTTTCAATACAAATTTATGAACTCTCAATGTGTGCTGATTGAAAGCAGTTTGATTGTCACATTTAAATTCACATAATGTGCATAAATATTCTTGTTGGCGGGCACTCATTTTCCTAATATGTAAATTGAAAGAAAAAAAAATTAGTTTGTATGCATTTATTGATGAATCATAAAGTTGAGTGCAAAAAAAATTTTTTTAATGAGACCCAAGAGAAGTATCAAATCATATTTTAAACTTGAAATATCCTAATGCTCATAAATAAGAGTGAAAAAAACTCTGAAAAAAATTATTGTTGAAGGTAAAGATTTGTGGGCAAAGTCCGGAGTGAAGGGCAAAAAGAAACAAACAAACAAAAAGCAGGTTGGCAAAAATTATTTTTTAGGGTTTAGAAGAGGAAGAGCTTAAGTGTACGGCCACACAGAACGCGTTCAAAGCGGCATAAACGCGCTTGGCGATTAAAGTGTTTGGAACGTCTTTTGCGAGTAGAATTAAAATAATGTAATATAGAGCGAGTGGCCCGACAAGACGCTTTTTGCATTAATGCATTTTGCGCTTCTCTCGCTATATATTACATTATTTTAATTCTACTCACAAAAGACGTTCCAAACGCTTTAGTCGTCAAGCGCGTTTATGCCGCTTTGAACGCGTTCTATGTGGCTGTACACTAAGGCTTGGAGCAGGATTTTCTTGCTACATTTTGATTAAGGACAGGAGGTTACGTTTTGAGGGATTAAAAGGGTGAGAAAAGCCTTCTACAGGAATTTATAGCTTCCAAAGTGAAATGAAGTTATTTGGGTTGTACTATTATGGCTTGATTTTTGCCTCTTAAATTTCCGAGGGCTAGAAATTGGAAGGAGATAATTTTTTGACTGAACCAGAAGAGCCTTCTAGAGCAATTTTCAAATTCCGGAGTCAAAAAGCACTTTTCCAGAGTTTTTAAGCCCTTGACCAGAATTTTTGACTCTAGAAGTTGCATTTTTGGTCATTGAAAGAGCTAGAAAGGTCTTTTACACAGGAATTTATACCTTCCAGCGCAGAAGAAATTATTTCGGATCAATAATTATTTACTATTGATTTTTGCCTCCCAAATTTCTGAGGGCTAGAAATTATTATGAGAAAATTGATCCAGCAGAGCTTCCTATATTTATTGATAGAGAGGGAGAGGACAACATGAGCCAAAGAGGTGCCCGAGGATCGATGTAGTACAGCCAGAGGCCCGGAGGCGTTGATTGAGGGCACTTAATTTATACAGGGTGTCCAGAAATAAATGCCACAAAATTTGAGCAAAGATTTAAAAAAAAAAAAAAATAGGGGACCCATATTTTTTATTTTTGTGAACAGACCCCTAAAATTCGCTCCTAAGAATGGTATTTTTTTTCTCAGAACCCTGTTGTACGCAAATCACTATGTTTGGTACACAGGAGTTTTATGGCATGAAGAATTAGATGGTGCTACGCTTCAAGGTGGAGGATTCCCTGCTCCCTGCAGACACTTTTTCGTGGCGCCCAAAACAGGGGTCTTGGAAGCCTCAAAACTTTGGTTGCATGTTTGAATTTTTCAAAAAATATTATTCAGCTAGCAGGCCCATTCAATTAAGAAATATTTTTGTCTGTTGAATTTTTTTCGTTAAACACATTGTTTTCGAGAAAAATGGCAAAATGTGATCGAATGCATATCAAAATTTGTATGAAATTATCGAAGAAATAATTGATTGTACCTGATAATCGTAGGTGGTGAATTCATTTTTTGACAGTTGTCATTAATCAGTTTTCAGATTACTATCTTTTCTGTTTTTTCTCGAGAATTGGTCAATTAACTATTCAATATTAAGTTTAAATTTGTTTTTATATTGCGAAATTCAGACACCTATGATTAACAAGTAGAATTTCATAAGAATCTCGACATGCATTCCATCACATTTTCCCTTTTTTCTCCAAAACAATGTGTGCGAAAAAAAATTCGACAGACAAAAATATTTCTAAATTCAATGGGCCTCCTAACTGAATAAGTGTCTTAGGAATTCCTCCGCCAAAAAGTGTAGCACCATCCAATTTTACATGTCATAAAACCCCAACAACCAAACAATGATTCTCCTTTAATGAGGTCCCGAGAAATTAAAAAAATACTATTCATAGGGGCGAATTTTAGGGGGCTGTACTGTAACTCCGAAAGGAGGGGCCATTTACTCTCGCATTTACCAAAAATTAAAAAAAATACAATTAGGTTGACACTCTTGAAACCAACAGGTGTTTTGTTTATAATGCTCTCTAGGAGTTATAAAAAAATATCATCCTGCAGTAAGGTTGCCACCTGTTCGGTTTTCACCCGGACTGTCTGGTTTTTTAAAGGTTTGTCCGGTGTCCGGACGCATAATGAAAATGTCCGGGAATATCTGGATAACTATATAATTGATAATGATAATGGAATTATAATATAAAATTGTTGGAGGCAATTGCCAAACGCCTATATACCTAACTAATTTCTGAACGTACCTACTTCTTCAATGACGGGTGTGTCACGAACGTCTCCGATTTCGAGTTAATGATGAAAAAGTTGACTTTTTCTGCCTAGGCAGAAAAATTCGTTTCTACCTATTCAACAAACGTTATCAGCGGCCAACGCAATTAATAAATACAAAAAGTGGATTATGCGTGAAATTGGAACAAAGTCGGAGAAAAATGATGTGTTTCATACAGCAACAAATCAGATCTAATGCCTTGGCTGGTTTCATAGCTTCACCTTCGGCTATGAAACACCAGCCGCGGCATTAAATATTGTGCTTTTCTACCTAATAAAACAAATAACTCTGTATTGTGTCGTTTCTCCCTGTTCACGTACAAGTGTCTCTGTTTTTTTTTTCTTCAAATTTTAAAATAGACTGTAACTACAAGGGGTGGTGTTTAAAATTAAGAAGGTACCTTTTTCTAAAAATTCATAAGCAAATTTTGAAGGCAGCCAACTTTAGTGCATAAACTACAACCATAACTCAGCACAGTGCTTAATTTTTCAAAATACAATCATAATAAAGTAGGTAGATATGTACGGTCGAGGGTATGTACGCATGTTTAATGTATCCTAGCCTAGCTTGGATCGATTATGTACGGGTTTTCGGAAATCAAAAGGTGGCAACCCTATCCTGCAGGTTAATTATTTCTCCGATTCGTAATACACCGGCAATTCATTTGATTATTATAGTACTCTGGTACGACATAAAAACAAATTTTAACTTCCAGAGACAAATATAGGAGTTTGATTTTGACTCTCAAAGTTGTAATCCTTTAAAAGGGCGAGCAAATTTTTCAACATGAATTTATTTATAGTTTCCGGAGTGAAAGAAGGCTATTTTGGATGCACTATTATGCCTGATTTTTGCCTCAAATTTCTAAAAGCTAGAAGTTGTGAGAGATTTTTTTTATTTGTCAAGATCCAGAGCAGCCTCCAATTTCCAGAGATAGCAAGTAACTTAGAAAAAATTACTTATCAAGGTTTAGTAGAGCTTTTAAGGCTGTGAACAAGATTTTTTTGATTTATCGGATCATTTTGATTCTGGAAATTGCAATTTGTGTAGTGAAAAGTGATCCTTTTAGGGAGTGACTACTGCATTGTCCAGACAGTGGTCACTGAAAACTATCTGCACTGAGGAGACAGTGCCGACTGAAGTCTAACACTGTCTAGACAGTGCCGACTAAAATCTATCTGCACTGTCCAGACAGTGCCGACTAAAAACCATCTACACTGTCCAGATGATTCCATAATCATATCATAAAGTTATAGTTATATTCAAAATGGCTTGCACTCCTTGCTGGGATTTAGTGTATTATTAGTTATTTTTGTATTAAGTGCGCAAAATTAGTATTTTTCTAATGGA